GCCCCGCCCCAAAGAAACAAGCCTGGGTTTTAACAGAAAAATTGGATCAAAAATGATTTCAGTTTTTTCCAGAACTGGAAAGATTTCCGTTCTCAGCGCTGTGGCCAAGAAACTGGGTGAGGCCAGGGGGCCCCGCTAATGTCCATGGTGCGAGTCTTTTTGTTTATGGTTATGCACGATAAGCACTTTGCAAGGGGAAAGAAATGTTACTTCACAACTGGTGCATTTCAGGAAATGAATTCATTTGTGAAATGTCAGCTAAACACAGATACCACGTTTCCAAGATACGGCGTGTGCTTGAAAAGAGCTGGTGTTTAAATGTCTGAAATGTTATTGTGATTTATTTAGGGTTAGCAAATGCAGATCTTGTCAGCTTCCAGGGTGATTTTGTTTGTGCCTTGTGCGGGCTGTTTTGATCTTGTTGCATTGACATTGTTGTCTTCTTTAACTACTTTGGGTTTTTGTTGGAAAAGTAGAATATAGAAATTGGAAGGAAGGAAGGAATGCTTTTTGGCCAAAGCTGTGCAGAGGCAAGAATTCCAATGGGAGAATTAATGACTTCTTGCCTTGAGACCAACTGGCTGCTACACAGAAGTGGAGGCAATTCTTTGTATTGAATGAGGCCCACAAACAAGGAAAGAATTTGTAGACAGCTGGGTTCTCTAATGTGCTAGAAATGGAATGAGCTTCGGAACACCCATGTACATGCTGGAGAGTGCCTTGGCACAACTGATTCGTCCTCTCTTGCTGATGTGCAGCTGAAGGATGTGGTGTTCTTTGCCCTAGAAATGGTCAAAATAGCTACAGACATCTATATTCTGTGCTTTAGCGGTGGTTGAGAATCAAAGGAATCACCACTCTTACATTTCATTTAAAATATTTGTATCTTTGTGTCCCACCTATTGACTGAGGCAACTGGTGAAAACATGAAACAGTTCTGCAAGGTTATTCACCCAACAGCCGTAAGATCCAAGGAAAGTGGAAGGAAAAATAAGAGAAATGCAAGGGAAAGGGGAGGTGAAAAGGCATTCTTTTGTTCTAAAATACAGCAAATCTTCAACTTTACCATGTTCAACATAACAGACAGTGTTATATCTGTTAAATCCTGATGAGAAATGATTCTGAATTTCTGTCTGCATTTCTGTGAGAGAAATTCAAAGAAAAATGTGCAATGGTGGAAAAGGTGAGGCGGGAAGTTCCAAAGTTCTGGGTCTCTTGAGGGAAAAAAAATTGCCCTTTTTGGTGCAGTTCCAGGCTCTAGACAGTGACACTATTAAGCAGCAGAAAATGGCAACTGAACCTTCATGTTCAGAGGGAATATGCCACATGGTACTTGTTGCTCTGGGGTAACCACAGAGCAGACTGTCTTTAGAGCAGGGTTTCTCAATGTTATCAACTTTAAGATGTGTGGACTTCAACTCCCAGAATTCTGGAGTTGAAGTCCACACATCTTAGTTGCCGAGGTTGAGAAACCCTGTTTTAGAGGCTTCTGGTAAGCCTCTGGCTGGTTGAAACACTTAAATTAGATGAATTCTCCTTTGCTGGGTTTCTCTGTTACAATCTTTGCTGTGGTAGACAAATGGAACTTCCATGTTCAGAAGGGGTCTAAGATGAAACACGTGTCACTTGGATAACAGCCAAAAATGGCAATTGCCTTTCATTTTCTGTTTGTAGACTTCCTGAAGAAAATCTTGTGAGTCAATACTGCAAACATCTTGCAGGTCTAGATGGATCTTGATCTGGACTCAGCATGGCTCTTCTTTTCTTCTTATGGCACTCAAAAGCAAAAGAAGCATTACATTCTTAACAAGCAGGGGAAATCATACAGGGATTGATTGTCCCAGGTTTTATACACAAAATATGACAGATAAAATACTAGATGAATGCAAGTTCTCTTTTGTGGACAAAGCCCACACCTTACCTTTTTAAGACCAGTATACAATGTGGCTTGCAAAAATATGAACAATCATAGAAACAAATCCCCAATCACTGTAAACTACTGGTATATGTTTATGTTTAAATTTATTATTCATAAGTTTGTATCACGAAGTACAACATAACTGAGTCTTAAAACAGCAGTAAGAAGTCTATAAAACATTCAAATCAGCCAAATGTAAATCAAATTTCACAAGAAAGGTGGAAAAAAGAAAATAAATCTTAACTTTAGCATCTAAGTACTATTAATGTAAGAGCCTGGTGTAAAGATCCAGGACTGTTCCAAAGACATGTCCCATCATAGAAAAAGTCCTATCTTTAGTTTGCCATCCAAATCTCATCCAAAATTGGGGACAATTAGAGAAGGAACCCTAACAAGAGTAGAGTGGACAAGCAAGTACTTTTGAAGCTACTGTATTAAAGGATCTCACAATTTTGGAAGAGGATTTTAGGAAACTTTAGGAAGAGAAGGAAATCAGAGAGAGAACAGTTTCTAGTTCAGCACTCCTCCATTCTTTTTGCAGGCTCTCCTGGTGCATTTCTTTTTCCTTAGTTATCATTTCCAGAAATCTTCCTGGGACCCTGGGATACCAAGCCTAGAGCTGTTTGCACAAGGATGTGTAAACATAAAAAGCTTTTTCTGAGATTTGACTAGGAGCGATTAACTAGCTTTGTAAATATCACCCCTCCTTAGACAACTCAGATCTTGCCTCAGTTTATGAGTCAGCAAGGCAGGAGCTCATGATAGGCAACCTTCTTTTGCATCAAAACAGCTGATTGATCCACCTACTTTATATACTGGCAGTGCAGCTCAGGCAGAAACATGCCTATCCTAGTTCTGCTGCCTAAGACCCTTTAACTGGAGGTCAGGTTGGGAGAATTGGGTCTGAATTTTGCATACAAAGCTATGGCTCAATCACTGTATATGGCTTCTTATGTCTTACTAATTCAGCCAAGAGGTCTACCTAATCTACTAATGCAGGAACAGGCAACCTTTTTGGGCCAAGGACTGATTTAGAATATAGAAAACATTCCTAAAATGGCTGCCGTCGAGATTAGCCTATTCACAAAATGGCTGCCATAACAGCAGGTGTAACCAGTTACATAGCCTCTATTTGCCACGAAGCTAACTAATCCTGATACTGTATGCTTTGTTTTGTACAAGCTGGAATTGCATGGAATCCAAGGCTATTTCTGAAAAGAAACACAATGGTAAGACTAGTGATTTGCTTAGCAGCATACCAGCTTCCTATTAATTTGTTTTTTAGTTTAAAAAATCTTTTTAAAATGTCAGGTGGGGCAGAGAGTACGAAGGGTTCCAGCAGAGAGGGGTCTTTCCCTGAAAGATGCAGATTCTGATTTCCAGTTAGTAGACGGTGGTCTGCTAGTGATCCCAGAACATCATCTTAAAGATTATTGGAGCTTCAAAGGAATATCCTTTGATGGCCTCTGGTTTTGCATCATCATCACCATCATCATCATACCCGGAAGAGTTTTGAAGGGTCTGAAATGAAAGATTGCCCTCTTTTATTTTCCACTATTTTAGTTGATCTTAACAAAAAGCCAGGATATTCTTTTTAGCATTTACCATATTACTGTTATCTGTAATAACAAATAGGTGAAGATCTGCTTGTGGCTTAGCAGAAAGCAAACTACTTAAAAAATTCAATTGGAATCCCACATGATTCGTTCCCTGCCAGGAGTTGATTTACAATCTGCCCCTATTCCCAAAGAATTGTCTTGTCCCCATTAACTATGTGCAACAGGACTGAATTTCTATCCCAACATAAACTGGCTGGAAATTTAGCTTTAATCCAATACATTTAGAGGGAACCAGGTTAAATTAGAGGATACTCCTTTCAAATATTAAATTCCAGAGTGGTAGCCATCATAGTTTTCTTCAGCCAACAAGGGGGAACAAAAGCAACTTTGCAGTTTTATTGTGGCAGATTAAACAGCCTTGGATTGGCTGTTAACCTTTAAGATACCATAAGGAAGTATGTCTGTATATGTGTTTAAGTGTGAGAGGGAAAGTAGGTATTATACCTCCCTTAGTAACAGGGGTGCTTGTTCTCCAGAATTTTTATAGGAATATCATCAGTTGGACCTCTTGCATTGCGAGATTCCATTTGTATTATATATGAAATGATTGGCTGGAAGATCTGTCAGCTTTGCATCTTTGTTGAAGAAGAGTACAATGTACAAAAGCCTATGAACATAAGAAATTATGGCATCATTAATCCATTCCCAGAATTGTGTTGCTTACTTGTGACTATTTATTTCTTGGCCATTAAATATACAGTAATCCAGCAAGAAATAAGTACATGCAGAAATGCACATGTGGTCCCCATGGTCCCCATACGATGGCAGTGTATGCCAAAAGTTAAAACAAGTTTCTCTCTCTCTCTCTCTCTCTGGCATCGCCATGTCTTATGAGCAAAATGTGGCTGTTTTTATGCTCATCAAGTGACTGCTTGCCAGAACGCTTGTGATTTTTCCTGGTATTCAGGAACCTCCATGTCCTAAAGCTGTTTACTTCTGAATACCAGACGTCCAAGACAAAAAAACTGTTGCCTTCCCTTTTTGCTTATGATCCTCCACAGGCAATTTGTGATTTCCTCTTAGACAAAGGAGATAAGCAGGTGGAAACTTCTAGTGTTCTTACCACATCTCTCTCTGCATTATAATTCTCCACATTGCTTTTAAGTTGTGGATTTCTCTTTGGCCCAGGTGAGCCTGCCAAGAAGATTTTGAAGGAGAAGGAGAGATTGTACCATTCTGCCTTTGAGCCTTTATTGGGGAGAGCTGTATAGGAACAGTAGTGCTTGATTTCCAAAATGATAAATGATGTGGGAATAGTTATTTCCCTGGAATCTACAGCTGTGTGGGTGAAAAAGCACCCTCTTGCCCCAGATTCAGAGCTAAGTTTGTTACCATATCTTGCAAGAAAGCAGAATTTCCTTCCTAGGGTCAGGCAGGTCTTCTGTTTTTTCAAGTCCTTTGGTCTTCTGAGCCAGTGCTGGCAAACTCATGGCTGCACCTGGGAGCTTGGAAGGAAGGCTGCAAATCAGTGATGGGAAAAGGTGCATTCAGCCCTTTCCCCAGGGATCAGAGTCCATTCTTCCCCAGCCAACTAAGATCCTTACCAGAGAATGGTAAAAGTGGCCTTTGCCAGGAACTAAACTAACTAACTAACTAGGTTATAGAATGGGAGAGCAGATAGAGGAGAGGGGAGTTTCCAAAGTAATTCTTCCAGCAAGATGAGGTATCCATAAAGGTATGCATATTGTTCAGCCTCAGGTCAAGATAGTGCAATAGTAAGTTGTCACTTTCAGTTGACTGAAATAGAAATTCTGGTCAGATCTTACAAAGAGCTGAGAGCTACACTATTTGCCTTGGAGAGAGAATGTCCACGTTAACTATAGGAATGATCGGGACGTGGGAAAAACAGGTCACGTGTATGTAAGGGGAATACCAGCGAAAAGACCCAGATCCAGGAGCATAGTGGCGTTTAAGTGAATGCCACCTTCCCTCCAGATGCTAGGATAGAAGCACTGCAGGGTGGGAGAAGATCATATCAATAACAACCGTATTGTTTTCTGTCGGAGTTATTTCAATTCTCCTTGGGTTTCCTGAATCACAGGGCATTTCTAAAAAATTCTGACCGGCCTGCCAGGCTAACTTTGCCCAGTGGAGGAAAGTTTATCTCTCTGGAGATTCCTCTTTCCCCCGCCCCCATTTGCAAACTCCAGAGCAAAGAGAGGGGTCAGTCAGGCAGCCAAGCACCCTGCCAGCCAACTTTCAACGACGGAGCGCATGCTTGTTGACTTGTTTTGCAAGCGCTTCTCTTGCCCCGCCTTCTGAGGCCAACCTTTCCCCTCTGATTGGCCGCCCGGCTGCTGGAGGTGCGGCGGTGGGGCGCAGAGCCGCGCTCGGGAGGCGCTGAAGCGTTTAAAGGGGCCGTGCGCCGGGGAGGGCCAGAGCGCGACTTGCGCGCCGCTTGATCGGACGGAGCTTTCCATCCGACCGAGCCGTCTCCTCCTCAGCCATGCTCTTCGACCGCCTCAAGCGCTTCGCCATCGTGCTGGACTGTCCGGAGCTGGCCTCGCCCCCGGTCTTCAGCTCGGGCGAGAGCGTGGCCGGTCGCGTCGTGCTGGAGTTGTCCGGCGAGGCGCGCCTGGGCTCCCTGGACATCCACGCTCAGGGCTGCGCCAAGGTCCACTGGACCGAGTCCCGCAGCGCCGGCTCCAGCACAGCCTATACGCAGAGCTACAGCGACCAGGTGGACTTCCTCAACCACCGGGAGACCCTCCTCGCCCCGCCAGGTAGGGCGCTTGAGGAGGAGGACGCAGCGCCACGCGCCCGAGCGGCTTTGGCCAGCGGGCGCCCCGGACTCGCGGTCCTCTGCGCTGGGGCGGAATGCCTGCGGTGCCCCCGAGGGTGCCGGCGGAAAGTTCGGCCTCTCTCCGGACTCCGGTCCAAAGCCCGGGCTCTCCTCGGTTCTCCGTCTCTGACTGAAGCGTCGGAGCCGCGCGTCGCGTCTACCAGCTGCGGGCTTCTTGCGAGACAGGAGGACCCAGGCAGAGGCACCAGCCCAGACTTTGCTGGCGGCGGCGGCTGCTGCTGCTGCTGCTTTGGGAAGGTCTGACTTAATCTGATGGGGAGGCGAATTTGTCTGCGGGACCTGGATTTTTCTCGGGGCTGGTTTCTCAGACCTCGGTGCAGCTGCCCTCTGCAGAATTCCTCCAGCGGGCCGGTTGCCTGGAGCTCCATGCCAGAGGGGAGTGGATGCAACGGGCAAATTTGGATCAGCCCCTTCTCTTCTTGGAAGCCGTATATTATACGCTGTGGGGACAGGGGAAGAGAAATCCTGCAGTGTCTGAGACACTTTGCACTGCTGTCTGAGCGGCGACTTGCTTCTGAAATCTGTAGTCTTATTAGGCAAATTAAAGAGTTTCCAAAATGGCTCCTGTAAGGGAGTTTAGCTTCAACCTGTTCCATGGACGGGTATATTAAGATACTTTCCTTGGGCATATGATGCCCTTGTCATCAGTTGTTCTGAAAAAAATATATAAACAGCCCCGTCTTGTGATCTCTTTGATGACTTGTGGCTTTGCTTTGTCTTTTTTTAAACACCTTTGTGGCTAATGTAGCTGAGAAATTCTCAGTTGCCTGTCTTCAGTTTGCTATCTCTAGGGTGTGTATATGTGCTTTGTTTCACTTAAGTTCTGTTGATTTGTTACTGCACAAAAAGCTTGATGGAACTTTGTCTAAACAAAACTGAAAAGGGCTTTTGTTCTTCCTTCTGTTCCCTAACAGACAATGGAGATGTCACGGTCCTTCAGGCAGGAAGGCATGAATTCCCCTTCACTTTCCAGCTCCCAGGGTGAGTCCTTGTCTTTTCCAAATACAGTGGGGTTCGTAATAATGGCTTTTTCTAGCTGGAGGGGTTGGCACCAGCCTTATTCTTAGTCTTAATATCTCTTTTTCCCAAAACAGGACCTTGGCCACCTCCTTTGAAGGAAAGCATGGCAGCGTCCGCTACTGGGTGAAGGCCAAGTTACACCGGCCTTGGTCTTCAGTCAAAAGAGCCAAGAAGGAGTTTACAGTGATTGAACCCATCGATATCAACACGCCAGCATTACTGGTAAGCTGAGATAGGAAGGGTATGTCAAAGGGAAGGCAATCATTCCATATCATCCCCAGAAAGGAATTGTTAACCTGGATCATGGTAGCAATTTACAATTGATAAAAGATTATTTGTAGGAGGTAGTTGGATTCCTGGTGACTGTATCCATGTAGTTTTGTCATGCATCAGCAACAGTTTGAGGCTGCCTTCTTCCAGGATATTGTTAAAGTTTTCCTGTCTTGCTACAGCCATATAATTCCTTGGAGAATCTTAATCAGACCTTATCTAGTTTCACAGCCCAGTCAAGATCAGTCTTAGCCTTCCCTTAAAAATTGCAGCTGCTTAATGGTCTTGTACTGTTTGTTGCCAGTTGTTCTATTCTTGTGTCCAAAGTATTAGGTTATAATAGTGTGTGCTTGTATTATTTACATCAGAAAATGTAGTATTGAATTCAGTAGCATTAAATTCATGCTACTTAATTTAGATCATTAATTTAGATAGGACCATTCCCATCATGTTTGCCTCCTGTGATTCTATGCAATATCCTGGTGAGATGTTGAGTACAAACATTGATGACAAGAACTTCATGGTTGAAGAGGATTGAAGTTAGGTCTTTCGAGATCACTCATATGAAGGCGACTCTTAGTGCCATGCTTTTATTCAATATCATAATCCTGTCTTCCCTAACCTAGTGCTATCCAGAATTTGCAGCCCTAACACATTTGTCAGATGTTGGAGAGTTATAGTCTGATCTCTGGCCTACATATTTGACTACTATGATTTGTAGCTCCTAGGACCATGGTTTGTACCTCCTGGGTAACCCAGTCATAAGCTTGTCTAACGCTGAAGAACAAGCAGTCTCTAATCATTTGCCACAGAATGGTTCCTCTATTTCTATACCTCTGAGGATCCAGAAACAGGGAAATTATCCAGCACCCAAAGAAAACTTAAAAAAAAACAAAAAACCTATTTCCTCCAAATCCTTTGTGAGAAGGAATTCACTATTGTCTGTCAACCTTTCTCCAAGTTTATCCTCTTTCTCACTGAAACATCTTTTGATTCAGGAAAAGAAAGGCAGCTCCAGATTCTTCCTGCTGCTAACGTGTCTCTCTCTGCTTTGCTTCTTCCAACAGGCTCCTCAGGCTGGTGCCAAAGAGAAGCTGGCGCGAGCGTGGTACTGTAACCGTGGCCAGGTTTCGGTCTCAGCCAAAATTGATCGGAAAGGCTACACACCAGGTAATCTTTTAGGCAATTGTTTAGGAGTGGGTTGCAATGTGGGATAGCTCCTCTTTTCATCATCAGCCAGATGTCCCCAGCATGTACAGTCTTGGTGAATGACTCGTTTTTGTACAGTTGCAATCAGCCAAATGCCAAAACACTGACATAGCATTAGCCAGAATATTCTCCAAGTTCCTTCATGAAGAATTGGGCCATCAAAAAGTTTTGGGGGGGAAGGCAGTGGCATTGCCATCAAGCTTATGCATGCTCCTTGCAAAAATTTAGAGACCAGCAAGGTTAGAGAAAGAGACTAAAAGAGCAGACAAATAACAGAGGATCAGTAGCACATTGCCTCTAATACCCCCCCTTCCATTCCCTTGCAGGTGAGGTCATCCCCATCTTTGCTGAAATTGACAACTGCACCACCCGTACTGTGGTACCAAAGGCTGCCATCATCCAGACACAGACATTCATTGCCCGAGGCACTAAAAAACAGAAAAAATCAGTGGTGGCAAGCATGGTGGGAGACTCCATTGCAGCAGGGAAGAGAGAGGTGTGGCATGGCCGTGCTCTAAAGATCCCACCGGTTGGGCCCTCCATCCTGCAGTGTCGCATCATCCATGTTGAATATGCACTGAAGGTGAGCTCAGAGGGGCATCCGTGTAAACCTAAGAGGTCTGTCTGGCGGAATAACTCTCTGCACCCCAGAAAATCTCATTTTTATTGGCTCATTCATTTATCCCACCTCTTCTTAAAAGAGCTCAGGGTATCTTATAAATGAACTATTTCAAAACATCAATTTTAATCTCATACTTAAACAAAGCAAAAGTTGATGACAATTCACTAGCTGTACAGAATCAGTGAAATTAACAAAAATAGAATGGTTGAAATCGGTTTGGTAAAACGTTCTTTTACAGAGATTTCCTAAACATGCCTTGAAACCAGGAGACCATGAGTTCTAATCCCGCCTTAGGCACAAAGCCAGCTGGGTGGACCTGGGCCAGTCACTCTCTCTCAGCCCTAGGAAGAAGGCAAGGGCAAACCACTTCCAAAAAATCAGGCCAAGAAAACTGCATGGATTTGTCCATGTAGTTGCCAGAAGTCAAGACTGACTTGAAGGCACATATCTAAATATGAGGTTTCTCCTATATTCTAGACTCCTTTTGGGGTGATAAAAAGAGCTTCCCTAGGAGAATATTCCAGTCTTTGCCAGCCCCTCTATCAGAGGTCCTCTGCTGTATGCAAAGATGCTCATGTGTTTCTACCCCCTGATCTTTCTCACTGCCCTTCTTTGCCCCTGTTGCAGTTTGTCTGAATCCTATTTAAGGTATGGTGCCCAAAACTGGAAACAGCACTCAAAATGTTGAATATCTTATCTGATACAAAGTATGCAAATGAAGTGCAATCTTAGCTTTTGAGATGTAGAACATAGAGCTCTTCAGAAGCCTGAACTGCTTTATTCAGTGCAGCCTGGATATGCTGGATGAGATAGGGAATCTTTTCTTTTTCCTAAAAGCGAATGGTGGGCTTTTATATTGGCAGGTCTGCATTGACATCCCAGGGACTTCCAAGCTGCTCCTGGAGTTGCCGCTAGTCATAGGCACAATCCCCCTGCATCCGTTTGGCAGCCGCACTTCGAGCATCAGCAGCCAGTACAGCGTCAGTATGGATTGGCTGCAGATGGGGATCTCTGAGCAGCCTGAGGGTAAGCAGCTTAAGGCTGAAGTGAATAGTGAAACAAATTGGGAAATCTAGTGATTGAAACTAGGCAAAGAAAGTGCTCGTCTTGCAGGTGGTCCTGAATTTGCAACACCTCTACTGAGAAGGCCTGCCTCAAGTAGAATTCCAAGAATTGTTTTTTTTGCAATCAGTTATAGGAATTGAAATACAGCCTTCTTTGGGATGGTGTTACTGGAGTTGTATTTTGCTTACTTTTGCTTAGTTTGTAATAGCTTATGGGGGGAAAGGGAAATGAAAGGCAGGGGAATGAAATTCTGGGGCGCGTGGCTACAACATGCAGTTATGACATTGAAGCTTTCTCAGTGTAGCAAGTTGGAACCCTCTGTACTGCTAAGACCTGACCAGGTACCATCTTTCTTGGGATGGTTAAAAGCAATAACATTTCATTTACATGAATCCACTCAAGTCTCTTAGTTTGGGTCCATATACTCTGCTAAGCTATAATGTGATTTGCTCGGTTTATGGTTTAGCGTATTGTGTGAAACCATCCAATTCTGATTTATTCAGTACACCATTGCTGGCTGTCTTGCATTAGATAACAAGCTCTCCTTAGATAGTATTGGGATAACTTATGAAACACAGATGAGGTCCTGCCTGTACCATCATCTAGATTTGACCCTTGAATTCACGTAAGGGGCACTCAGCTAATCGACTTTGTTTCTCCTTAGCTCCTCCAGAGTACTCTTCTATAGTGTCTGGTGAAGAAACCATTGAGAACTTGTCCCCTCCTTCTCAGGATGAGTCTCCTACCTTACTTGAAGGACCTTTCTTTGCCTACATCCAAGAATTTCGTTTCCGGCCGCCTCCTCTCTACTCAGAGGTGAGCATGGGAGAGTGGCACACAGCTCATTGTTTTGCTGGGGAAGCTCTCTTTCAGCTTCTCTATGCTGTCATGCTTATCCTAGCCTTTATCAGGGTATTGCTAGTAAAGCAATTGTTTTATCAAACCAAGTTTCCTGGGGGGAGCTGTTCCTAACTTTTCCTCCTGTCTTGCCCTCCTTGAAATCTAGGTGGACCCCAACCCTCCATCTGACAACAGCATCCGTCCACGCTGTATGACTTGCTGAAGGAAGCACTCCTGACTTGAGATCAAGGGAAATCATTTACAAGAGAGATGACCACAATGGAAGCACGGTGGGGGTGAAGAACAGGCGTTTGCCCCAGAAGAAATGCAGGTGCCCACTCTTAGATGGTGCCCTACACTGAATGCCTTCACCGGACTCTCTCCGTAACCGACAGAGCTTGTCCAGGCTAGATCAGCGCTGGTGATGAAGAAAGAGAAGAGAGCTCTTCCTCAGCTCATGAGTGGTGACTGTTTAAGATCAACACAAAAGCATTTGAACTCTAGACCAATCTCTTGCTTTTCTTGGGTACATTTAAGTATGTCCTCCCTAGACCTACACGGTGGGTTTTTATTCTGTAGACTGAAGCGGCAGAACCCATTCAACCTGCCAGTCTGAGGAAACATTTCTGCTCCATTGCCTAAGATTCCATATATGTCTTCAAGACGGAAGTTAGCTAAAAGAATTCCTGCCTTATGACTCAGTGTCATTATTAGCACTTCTGACATTTTTGGATTGCCCAGTTTCATTTCGCTTTTAAGTCTCGTTCGACAAGCAGATACGGGAATGGTCAAGGATTGAGTGGGCAAGAGCCCCAGTCGAAAAGTTGTAGATAGTTGTGTAAGAGGCAGAAGGGGAGTACATCTTTTTTCCCCTTACATCAGGGAGTGATTTGTTTTTGCTTATTGCAATGTAATTGTAATTGTACTGGGTGTGAATGGGATTATGGTGGTTGCAATAGGTGATTAATTTGCAATTTCAGTTACGTTGGGTCTAAATTCTCAAGACGAACACTTTGAGATAGAGGACAGAATTTAGGAGAAAAAAATTGTAATGTTGGTTGTATGCATTCAACAGAAATGCAGAATAGAAATAGATTGTATGAGAAGTTGGTGGGAGCGTGCTTTTCCCCATTTCAAAATGGGTCTTAATTAGACTCCCAAGTCGGGAGGGGGGGGAGGGAGTGAATCATCCCTCTCAGATGCATTCCACATGCTTCTAAGCATGTAAACATCCTGCTTCTGCCCTATGTAGGGCTGGTGGCCTTGTTTTGTACCTCTTTTCTGTTCTACTCTGGTTTGATACAGACATAAACCTATTTCTAGGTTCACATTTTATAAACTGGTTGCCTTTCACTTTGAAAACTATGTGTGTTTCTCAGCATTCCTAGTTTTGTACAAGTGCTGCAATTAAATTAATCACACTTTTTAATCGCTGGAATTTTCCTTCCTTTTTCATTCAAAAGGTCTCAGTCCACTTTCCTTTTACCCATGCCAAAGTGGAATGCCAGAGTTTTCTAGGGTGTACTTTGGATACCTAATTGAATCTAACAAACAGAACTCCTGTGTCTAATTCAGGGGATCAGCAATCTGTGGCTTATGCCCCCCTCTCTCCCCAAGCACCATTGAGATTGCAAAGCCAAAATGCTACCATAAAATGGGCAATGTGACATTTTGTTGTGCTTTCTTCAGAAATAGGGGTGGGGATGGGAACACAGCAACTTTCTCACCTAACTGGAAGCGTGAGAATTGGGCTGCCTTAAGTCCCATAGCTTTCAGCTGGGTCTCAGCCGTGACTAAGCACTTGCTATTTAGGGAAGGGTTATGCAGACATAAATTACAATTTGCCATCTTTAGCTTTCCAAGCATTAAGGCCTCAGTGTCCCTGTCTAGTTACTACCATCCCCCACTCTGCCTTATATTTGAGGTAGGAATATCTTCCCTTCAGCCGGTCACTTGGTCAGACATCCAGACATCTGGAGCTGTGCCTGCCTCCAAATGGGAACATATGTAAAAAGGACCGTGGCCCTGGAACAGGATGTCTTACCTCTACAATCACTTACATCATCCCACCGGTTTCCAACCTTAATCTTCTGCTGCACTCTTTCACCTTTCGTGTGCTTGGTACTGAACGTCTCTTTAGAAAATGGGACATTCCATGTTTTCATCAGACACTTCCCTTCATGGCTGTGAGGCTCTAGTTTGAGAGGGCTGGTTTTGGGCATATGCATTCTTCCTTTTCTGCATTTTTACCTTAAGCTTTACAATTACAGCCATTTCACCCCTTGAAACTCCTAAACTCCCCTTCCAAAATGAACTATGGCTCTTCCTATTTATCAAGCCGTGCAAAGCCTAGTGTAGCCCGTGAGCCCACAGCTGTTGCCACTCCCATCAAATTCATGAGCTGTTACACAGACTGGCACAGTGTGTTGAGCATATGCTTCTGTGTGTTTCTGAATTACCACTTCAAGGATTAGGGAATAGCAAACATGGACCCTAGTAATGTTTGAGGGAATGTGTCTCTATTTGAAAGAATAAAAAGCAGAATATAGGTAATTTGCTTTGCAGAGTTACTGGGTGGAAAATTACTAGGGAAATTATATTTGCAGGACTGAAAGCAAAGACCCCATTTGGGGATGTGATATCTTCTTAATCCTGCTTTGGCCCACTGGGCAAATTACTTCCTTGGCTTTGTTCCCTATTTTGTTTGCTATTTTTGTGATCACAAGGCAAGGTGGGACCTAGCCAAGGAACATATTTGGGATTTCAGAGAAGTGTTAGATTAGCAGGAAGAAATGGAACAACACAGGTAGAGAGGAAAGACAATATTGTCTTTATTGATAGTAACATAGGTAAGACAAAATTCTAGCCAGATTCTAAAATTCCATGTCCTCAAATATGAATGACCCTCCAACTAAGCAAACATTCGGGAGACCCAGGACTCCCGAACCCAGGACCCAGAAAGAAAGAAGTCCTTCTTGCAATATAACTAACCCTGGGGTTTAGTTTAAGCCACCCCGAGCATCAGTTTGAAATCCATTAAAATTTGCTACTACCGCCAACCTGAATGGCTTTAAAGGACAACAGGCAAGTTTCATGAAGAAAATTAATTCAGTGGTTACTAATCTTGATGATTGTGTAGTAATATCAGAGGCAATGTATTTTAAATACCAACTGTTGGGGGCACAAGATTGGAAGGCTGCTACTGTACTGCACTTCCCAGGGGCATCAGCCTGGCCTCTGGGAACAGAATGCTAGAAGAGATGGGCTTTTCGTTAGATGCAGCGAGACTGTCCTTATTTGTGTTCAGCTGGAACATACACTTAAGAGTTCAAAGGAAGAAACAGTTCTTACAGAAAAGGTGTCACTGATGTTGTTTCCATAATTGAAATAAAGACATCAGGGACACAAGCACCTAAGTGACTTAAAACCATGTTTACTTCACCCACTCATTTGCACATTTAACCCAATCCGAGTAGCTCAACAGAGATTGGGAATGGAAAGTAATTGTCTCTCAGGATTTTATTAGCACAGTAAATCTTGATTTGCTAATTCATTACTATGTAGGGATGATCTTACCTTTCTGATGTCTTATCACCTTCTAGTTCATATTTTCTTCTCTGAATATTAGTGGGACCTTCTACTGGGCAGTCCCACTAGTGGTCTTCATACAGCCCAGGACAGTGCTCCTAAGACTTGCTGATGTTTCATTACTAAAGGTGTTCAGCTTGTAACACCTCAGCTATTTCAGTTGCTCCTGGCAGGGCAGATACAATTTAGGAATTTAAGGTTACTGCAATTTTTCCAAAGTCTCCATGCCTTGCAACCTTAAACCTTGTTCGCTTACTAGTTTTATATTCACGTAACTGTAGATACCAGCTCTATCTATTGAGGGGGCTGGAATCCAGAGACTTTTTCTATTGTAACCCTCTCCCTCTGGAACAGCTTGCCCTCACAAAACAAGGTGTGCCCCTATTTTGATGATGTTTCAGAAGATGACAAAAACAGTCCTCTTTAAGAGCATTTGGATTCATTTTATACTTGCTATGGCTTTATTTACAGTTGTAATAGCTTGAATTAATTCTTGGTTTTACAAATGGATTTTATGATTTTATTAATCTCATGTGTTGTAAGCCTCCTAGAATTGGAAGAGTAGAGGGCATATATATTTTGGCAAAACAATAAATAAAAACTTGAGAGAGGGAAGCCAATACTCCATTTAGAAACATTTAGAAAGAGCAGCTGTTATTAATGTGGGTGTAGGCTTTGCATGCAGAAGTCCCAAGTTCAACACCTGACATTTTCAGATAAATGATCCAGATAGTCAGCTTGGGGAAGGCCTCTGCCTATGGCCTTGGCAGAGCTATCGCCAGCTAAGAGACGTGTTATTGGACTAGCTACTTTAAAAGTAAATCATTCTCATTATCATATTTTCCCTTGGAGAACCTACTGCTCAGGGTCCAAACATGTGCTTTGCATATACAAGATCTCAGCTTAAGATACAAAACTGCTGGGAAATAATTCACTTTGGCTAAGACCTTGGAGAGTTGCTGTAGAAAAGTGTTGAGCATCTCAGCTAGGCCGCTACTGGAAATCCACTATAAGAGAGTTCCTAGTATAGTAGCTGTTATTGTCCAGGGAACTCAGCTCACCTGGGTGACTTCTGGCTTTTTGGCTAAAAAGCAGTGTTTGTGGTCAGCTACCTCTAAGTAAACTTTGCCAGCTCTAGGAAAAGGGAGGTGTTTTCATTTTGTAAGAGGCCTCCAGAAACATATGATAAGGCTATAGCCAAATGGGAGTCATGCTGTGACCCTCTGTGCTTTTGGACACATTAACAGCCTTTGGCCTGGATACAGAGCTAACTTAATTTGGGGCAAGGTTCACAGATGCAGGAGCCGGAGATTTAGTCAAAAATAGTGCCTCTGAACATGTGTAAGATATAGTCAAAAGTTACTCAATCTGGGAGTGAAGGTGAAGAGTTCAGGTAGATAGGAAACCCAGTACATCTTATGCTCCTCTGACCTTTCCCTTCTCACTTCATCCATCACAATTTCAGATTCTTTTCTTTAAGCATTTCCAGTTGAAATGCTTTCCTTTTCTTTAAGCCTGAACTGCTGAATTATATTATCCCTTATATGGTTTTCTAAAGCATTGGTCCAGCACGTCAAGATCTTCTATTCTAGAGGTGCCACCAAGAGTTGCATCTGCAGAGGCAGAATCACAAAAAGGCAAGATGGCAGACAGCTACATATATTTAAATGTAACAAGATCCTTTTTATGGGGACTAATCATATTGCATTGATTTAATTAATTTAATTGAAATCCAAAGGAAATAAACTATTTTCTCTGATTCCATCTGCCTCTTGGACCATTGCCCTGAGTAGCAAAAGCAAAAACACCGAAAAGCAAAATGTAACTCTTGGCTTGGAAAAAAATCACACCCATCTGCTCTGTCTCACCAGTTGTTGATCTAAAGTTCTGTTGGAAGAGCCTGAATAAATGGAATTCTCCCTTTTCCTTGACCACAAGATGTCCCACAGCTTTTGAAACTAAGGGATCCAGGTTCATCCACAGTCGGAAGTCATACATTCTGGCACCTATTCTCCAGAGAAAGACTAAAATAGTAACAAACAACCCATCCTTCCAGAAGAGGCAGGCTCTTCAGGAGAAATGACAGCTACAGTGGAAAAAGATAGTTGTTTACAAACTGGTTGTGGAGAGACAACGGACAGTATCACTGTTGGACCATAATCAGTTTCATTTATCCTGGGCATATTTCCCTTTGTTTCTGAACTGCTTTTTTTGAAAAGCCTGTTTATAGGGAAAACATGTCACCAAAAAACTGTTATTCAGTGTATGAAGGTGCCTTTATAGCAGGTCAAACTACTAACCCCAGAAACACAGCAGATTTTTTCCCAGTCCTTTACTTTCTATTATTGTACAGCACAACCCACATGCGCAACCCTTTACAAAGTACCAGAGGTCCAGATGTTCCCTGAAGGATTTATAATCTGTAACACAAGAAAGATGGGAATTTCACAGAAAAGACCCTGCAGTTATTTCACTCAATTACATATAAGAGCAGAACAGAAAAACATATGATTTTTACATAATTCAGCAGTCAAAACAGGTAACTCACTTCTGGGCTATACAGTAATAAGGGTTTTTTGTATTAGTGTCTCCTCTGGACATAAAACTCTAAGTGCAGCTCAACCTTTTGAGTAACTGGTAATGAACGCTGTACAGCCACTATGGTTTGAGAGAAGGGAGTTATGGATGGGTGTTAGCCATAATCACTAAATAGGGTCTACATAGACTGTGGCACTATACATGTCTAATTTTAGGGACAAACAAACAAATGGATGGCCATGACATTCACTTTTACAACCCGCCTGTGAACTTCTAAGTTAATCATTGTTCAAAGCAGAATTG